AAATGTATATATATTCGTAAGTTTTATTCTAAATTAGTTCACCATTTCATTTTTAAGACTTTGGAAATGCATTTCCAAAAGGATTGAGGCTTATGTATTAAAAAAAATAACATTTATATTCTCTGTTCAGGACGTGATCCCAGACCTAGTCACGCGGAATGAGCGATTATACACATATTTACTGGGTTTAGGGGCATAGTTCGAACAAGCCAACCATTGTTCAACACCTTGTTACTTCCTCCTTTCTCTAATATTCCTACGCCATAAAAAGCACAAATCGACATTAACAGTAGACCTCAAATCAGCGAAGGCTATTTGGTTCCTAAAATCGACGTAAGTGTTATTCAAAATTTGCTATAATTATAAATGATTGACCACTTAATTTTTAAGTTTTTGTAAATGCATTTCCAAAAGGATTGTAGGCCTACATTTAGGGAAAAAAACCCAATTATATATTTATTTATACGTTACTGCCACGCCCATACTTTATTCTCTTACTGTTTACGAAGCAGAATGAAAGTATCGGTTCGTATAGTGGGATAGCTGGCGTCAAATAAGTGGAAGAGGACTGTGGGGGCTCCAGTGAGGTGGGGGTGCAGTGTGATAGGGCTCCCAATGGGGAGAGGTCATCAATCCTCCGGGCTCAACACAATTCTTCGACAGACTTAATTTATTAGGATAGGAGACACTTATTCCTTAAATAAACTTCCAATCTCTAAAATGTCGAAGTTTCCAGGAGCCTCGCCCCTGACCAGTGACCTCCTCCAATGGCTTCTCTGGTCGTTCCCTGGCCCCGGTTAATTACACTCTCATTGTTGTCATCGTACTCCCGTCTGTCATTTCCTGGCGCCAATAATTGGGAGAGGGGAAGATTTCTGTGCGTGGTCTAAATTCGGAGTGGCTGATCAAATGGATTGAATTATTGTTAGTCTGTTCATACAGAATCCATATTTTCGATCGACAATAAGTTGTGTATTTTATTATTCTAATTTTTTGGTAATGATAAATGTATTACTTCTCATGTTTTGTGCCTTCGTATACACCAATAAATCATAAATTATATGTTAATATAGCTTTAATGAATCTCTATACTACACCTTATTCCCAGCGATCTCATTTATCTAGACGTCACAACTGTATACGAAAGTAACGAAGCATTCTGGTAAACATGGAGCATTTACCTAGGAAACAGTGAGTACGCTTCTGTATTATGATAATTTAATAAATTAAGATAAACAAACGAGAGAATAATTTCAAAAGGATAACAATTTTAATTGAATGGCTGTGATAGGGATGGTGCTGATGATGATGATAATGATGACGTCGATGATGATGTTGATAATGATAATTAACATTCATGAGAAACCTGGTTCATTTTAACTTAATTTTAAGGTATAAACAATGTCATGTGGAAGCAAACAAACAATTCATTGATAAACATTGCTTGATTGTTATGTCACAGAAACAAATTAGTACAGGCTATAGAGAGAAATGACTGGCCAGCAGTAAGAAACATCCTGGAAAATGAACCGCACCTTAATGAAACTTTTCATGAGGTAAGTACTCAGTTGCTACTAAATTTATGATCCACTCCAGATGTGATTTTTAGTAAATTATTCATAAAATATTATATACTATTACCTCGGGCTAACAAATCTCACAAAAATAATCCCATAATATATTTTGCTTTTATTTAAAAAAAATATTTAAAAAACACACACACACATCACTGCAACTAAGAATGAGGTAACTAGTCAGTTGCTACTAAATTTAGGAGCCAAATTCTTTAAAAAATATTGGAAAATTATTTTATTCTTTATACTGTTCAACTCGCCCTAACGAAGTTAAAAAATATTTTCCCACAATATGTTAAATATCTTTATAAAGAGCAATCTCATATATTTAAAATGCATCATGCTGAATTAAACCACATTGTCATTCTTGGTACAAACCGTGTAACCAATATTCATTTTATTTCTGTTAACAGTAAATAAATAACTGCTTAAAAAAGAATAATTAAATAAATAAGCAACACATAAATAAGGAAATAAATAAATAAAAGACGCAAGTGGCTTAGCGCAGGTGGTCGAGGGCAGTTTTAAAAGAATATAGGCCTATTTAAAGTGTCATCTAATAGTGTATAGGTTAATTTCAAATAGCTCTGATCAACAATAAACTGAAGTATGTGTGACAGTCAGTTATTTAAACATAACCTGTGTTAAAATATATAAGCTCGTTTTAAGTATTCCTCTTAATCTAATATAGGTCAATTTCAATTCAACAAATCAATTAATGGAAATTATTATAATTTAACTCGCCCTTACGAAGCTAGCAAATAGTTTCCTACAATAGCAGGGGCGCCGCAACTACAGCCATAATATCGTCGCTGGTTTGAACGGTACGCTCGCCTATGTTTATGGTGGTAGAATAAGGATAAGGACTATCTGAGACAACTATACACGTGTATACACGTGTATAGTTGTCTCAGGGACTATAAACCGTATGGCCCAGTGTATACAATGGCTCGTGTGCACTATAAAGAACCCAGTACATCCTCCGAGACGAGTAGGGGAAACCCCGGTGTATTGGAACAGACAGCCCCTGTGGTGGACGACGAAAGTTGATGGTACCGGGTTACTGGGTAGCACAAACACGAAGGGACTCTTAGGGGTGAAGAAAGTCATTGATCGAGTTCCTAGTCCTAGTATCAAGCGCCCTGAGCATCTTAAATTGGATGGATGTGCGCTATATTAAACTACAATATTATTATTATTATTACTATTAATACGTTTAGAGCCTTTAAAAAATAAATCAAATCTCGTTTAAAATGTACCATGCTGAATTACAAACCGTGTGACTAATTTTCATTTTATTTCTAGTATACTTGCAACTTTATTCGTCAGTCGATAAAATTTCGCGAAGATTCCCTGATAAATTAAAAAACGAGTCTAGCGCCCTCTGTAGTTAAAAAATGTATTTACCCATAGCGCTATTATATTATAATGTCGATGGCATTATCATATCATATTATTCATTTCGTAAAGTAA